GTCTTTAGTTAAAAAATGCAGATGTGCATCTTTCTTCTCTTATAACTTGACTATTACTACTCGCGCAGATTTAAGATTTCTCATGGTAAAAGACATGATATTCGTAGTCAGTTTGACAGAGATTTTGGAGAGATCTGTCGAGCCTTTTTTACATTAACAATCTTTTATTCATAAGTTTGTAACAAAAATAGGACAAATTAGGTACTCTACAAACACTTGTCTAGAACAAAAAGTAAGGCACAGAAATTAACCATTCTAACGCAGAATAAATCTCAAGACATTGAGCTTTTAGTACATCCACATAATGGTTTGCTGTGTGGGATGGGGAAGAAGCTATATCGTTTTAAACATGGCCAAAAATGTGAACTTCCTAACTGACACCGGCACAGTCGCTTCAGGGCTCATTAACCCCGTGACCCCAAGCCGGGGAGCTCCGGCGGGCTGCTGAGTCACGCTAACTAAAAGTAACAGAATCGGGCATGAAGCAGATCTACAACAATAATGTGAGAAATATTAAGTAAAGACATATTGAACTTTATTATAACAGACACAATTCCAATTAATAAATTTTATTATAAATGGACTTCGTTCTCATTATTCGCAAATCTGACTCTCAAAGTGCATAATATTTCTTTGACAGCATCAATCAGCAAGTTCAAGCCCACCAATACAAGAAAATAGGATACAAAAACAGAATAAGTGCACTCTGAACCTCAAAAATGTATAAGATACGTTTTTACGTGCTAGGTGGCAGATATGGCAACTGTACTGTAACTACTCACTTTTTCCGTTCCCCCTCATAATCCAATTTTGTGGCCAGACCAAAGTCTCCAATTTTGATTTCCATTTCGTCGTTCAGGAAGAGGTTGCCTAACTTAAGGTCTCGGTGAATGACCCGTTTACCGTGAAGGTACTGGCAGGCCTCAATGATTTGGCGAACAAAATACCGAGCCTCAGGTTCTGTGACAGCCTTTCGCCGCTTGTGGAGCTCCATAAGGGACTGCAAAAACAATTTTTATTTTTTTTACTGCATTGTTTTCTATGAGTCTTTCAACACAGATTACAAAATGGAAATTTCAACATATTCTAACCTGATAGATCTTACCTTATGAGTGTAAAATGTGTTACACCCTATCAGCACAAATTTAAGAGGCGATAAAATAGACCATGAATGAAGCTTCGTATGGGACTGCAAAACACATCACATTTTTTAAAAATTGCACACCGTTTTCTTTTGCTCTATCAACACAACAATGTTACCTCTAAAGCATCACAATCTCATAAAAGCCCTGGTTTGATCGTAAAATGTTTTCAATCCCTTTTGGATTGACTTTAAACATTTTAAGTGCTGAAAGGTCATGAAAAGGACAGTCCAAACAAAAAAAGAGTAACAATGAAAGCTAATATTTTGTACATGAATATTTACATGGGATACATTCTACACAAATAGTACTTCCAACAATTATTTGCTCAATGTTTGGTGGTTACAAATTCAAGGGAACGAAACTGTTTATTCTCTTAGTTCTCAGTCTGGTGGTGTTTTGAAACTAGATGCTAGCCCTCTCAATAAATCTTGGGATTAGAATACTTCTTTTACAAAACTATTGAGCTGCAGAAGAAACATTTTTTAACAAGGTCCCACAGAAAACAAAGAGGTTTGCACTGCTCGCTGACGACGTTCCACCCACAAAAAATAGGACAATAATGACAATACCTTTCAAGTTTCAAGCACTAGTATGCAATTGTATTCAAACCGCCAAAAGCTGAAATTAGGCACCAACCAGTAAATCAATTTTGCTGTTATTCAGCACATGAGAACAGGATATTGTCGAAGCCGAAGAAATCGACAGAAATGTTGAAAACGAGAATTCCACAGAAATGCAAAGGAGCAAAGTACTGACAAAATGCAAAATTCGGTTCACGTTCCATTAAAAACAAGCAGACGCACAAATGTGAGCTGCTTTTGGTAAAACTAATATTTTCACAGTACAGTGACAGTAAATTAGTCCTAGGCGCAATGCCTAACAAAACAATAACAAAGGGACAGAGTTTTAGTTTTAGTTTCGGTAGAGGTTTTACGGCACTCCTAACTGCATACGGTCATATGAGCGCCAGAAGATTAGAGGTGTTACAAGAGAGACACAAACATAAAAAAGAAGAAGGGGAGATAAGGATGATAGATGTTGGATAGGAAAGAAGAAGCAGAGCATCCGCCAACCACCCACAAATAAAATCTGAACAAAATACCTACCACAAAGTATGGGTACAAGCCCCTATCAAATAAGTGCAATCATTAAAAATGAGGAACGTCAAATTTAATGGCTCCCTCTTGTAATAAGCTACATAAGACAAATTGAAGACCAATTCAATGACGAAGCAAGACACTTCTATTGAAAAGTATAATCATTTAAAGTAGTGGATCTGGGAATATACCCAATCTTTCCCACACAAACTGACTGACTGAACACTACAGAACCAGAGAAAAAGCAAGATGACAGATAATTTTGGAGGGTTGATGTGAAAAAGGACAGGAAGAGAGGACTGTCCAAAGAGACTACATCCCTCTGCAATATACACACAAGAATGGTATATTCTACAGTATTGTGAAAGGCAAATTATTCAAACATGTGGTGATGAAGACAAAATTCAAGTGTTCAAAGAGAACTTCATGAAAATCCCAAAAGCTCATCTAAACCTAACCATTGACATCCAAAAGCGGTTTTCTCGCAGCACTGTCAGCAGTGAGGGCACCACCACTACCACTCATGATTGGATCCACTGCAGGCACCTTCATTAGAGCATCCAACCTGGGCACCATCGTAAGGCATGATGTTGGCAGGCGGGGTGGCAGGCAGCCTATATGAGAAAAAAAAGGGGAAAAGGAAAAGATAAACTGACTGATGCCAGTGTGAACATTGGTTTAAAAATGAATTGCATGATACTACACCAATATTTAACATATATAAACATAACACAACAAGCATGGATACAACAAAGACTTTAAAAAAAACATTGCTACAACCAAGAGGTCACATACATGACAAATTTATCATAAATATATGGAACATGAAAGGGTAAAATAATTAATTTCAGATATAAATACACACTTCATCACCACAGCCATGAAGCACCTCTTTTGAGCAAGAACAGGGGTGAAAATTCATAGACATCAAAAAACCTGAAGAGGTAGGGTGGGAATTTTCAAAAACCTAAGTCATTGTACAGAAAGATAGGGCAAAGACAATAAAACACACACTAAACAGCTGCCACTCAGGAATTTCAAAAAAGGAGGAAATTCACACGAAAGCGTATGCGCGCTCTCCGAAGGCTGGAGTAAAACCAGTGAGATCCAGAGGCAATATCTTGGAACATCTATGTTTTTGGAAGAGAAAAGTTCGGAAGCGTCATATTTGTTAACCATACTGTATTTGAAAAAAAAACAACCAAGACACAAAGCTGACTAACAAGCATTTGACCCAGTTTGGGGATTAAAAATCCAGAGTTTGCTGCCAGTTAGTGTCTCGTTTACAGATTTCTTTCACTTTAGACTTATGCAAACGATGTAGTGTAGCACTGTATTGGATTAAGGGGGCAACACTTTGCCACCGTACAAGATTACTTATAGCACCAAATGCAAAGTGCAGCAACTGGCTTGCTCAGTTTTCTAATGAACTGTTGAAGTCGCACACCATCTGCCTCTTTCTCAATCCAGCTCAAGACCATCGTTTTGCATGTTGTGTAGTCGCCGGTTTTTACACACGTACATGCCGGCCCCAGTCTAAAAAAACGGCAGACCTCAAAACCCCTGTAAATCCTCTGACACATTTGTTAGAGCTGTTACAAAAATGCCCATCTATAAAAATAGCTTACATAATAAAGCCTTAAAAAATAAAAGTTGAGCAAAAGAAATTTGCCAGCAGAAGAAACATATTTTACTGAACATACCAGATGTGAAAAACGGATCCTCCATTATTTGATCCATATTCGGTCGTTCAGTTGGGTTTGCTTTGAGTAGTCTGTTAATCAAGTTTGAGGCTGGTACAGTGATTTTGTGTGGGATGTGGTACTCATTTTTCTTGATGCGCATGTATGTGTCCTTTAGGCATGAGGTCTCAAAAGGGGGCTTTCCCACTAGAAGTGTGTAACTGTTGAGAAAAAAAAAAGAAAACAAATGAGAACTTTGAAAAGCATAGAACAATCACAACGATAATGTCTAAAATGTCCCTTCTTACATCCTACGTGAAGTCTGATTTTGTTTCTGGCAGAACAAAGCAATACATTCAGCCTTTTGTCTATTTACAGGGCAAATATACATGATAGAAAATAATCAAGGAAAGAAAGTTGCTTATGCTTTAGAGGGCTTTAAAGTTCAAATATTTACATGATATCCGAGTCTTTAAGTTTAAGTATACAGCCGCAAACTCAAAGAAGGCAAGAAATTACAAAAAAAGGGTTTAGTAATGCTCCAACTAATTCCAATTCTGAAAATGCCGGTATGCATTAAAAACATCTGTGCCAATCTCTAATACTTCATATGAAACGAGACTTAACTTGCATACAACACGAGGGCCGTTATGGAACTTTTGTCTGTTTCGAAATAATATTGAGTCTGGTAGAGAAAATGGAAAAATGTCCACCGTAATTGGGATTTTGGTCACGGAAATGATGCTAAAATTTAAGTTTCGAAAAGAATACTAAAAAGAGTCAATATCACGATTAACTTCAAGTGAAAACAAGTTACAAGCAGTGAAAACAATAATGATAATCTGCCTTGCTATTTAGAAAGTAAACAGCACAATCTAAAACGAAAATAGAGAGGAGCTTTTCCCAGGCTAATTTTTTTCAAGGACGAGGACCAGTAGTATCGAAAATCCTCCAGCCAAACAGCATCACAAAACAGCTTTCAGTCAATATACCCATGGAGTGCTGTTGCTGTGACATGTGACAATTTCTTTTTTCTTAATAATAGTTGTTTCCATGCTAATTATGAAGGATAAAAATATAAAAAAAATACTCACACTATACAACCAAGGGACCAAACATCCACTTCATAACTGTGTCCTTTCTTTCCAAGCACCTCAGGTGCTATGTAGTTTGGTGTACCGCACAGGGTCCTGAAAAAAAAAAGTTAATTGGAACCAATAAAAAACCTGCAAATAAGAGAACACCATGAGCAACAAAAACATTTTTTCCCTTTTACAAAAATAATATCACGTCTGGGAAATCTAAACTGAACAGAAAATGGTTGGCATCTTTTAAAAAAAAAAGGATTATTTCTGATATTCATGGTGGTGTATGTGTATGAGAATGGCGAGAGCGCGATGACAGTTGTCTGAATTCAGGCACTTGAAAAAGATTATAGCTTGGTCACAGAAATCAGTTGGGCTATACAGCTGTCGTTGAAAGACAGTTTACAGAAAGCCAAACAAAAAACAGCTATATTGAGTGTCACAATGTGGTGGAACCAAGCGCTAGTCAATTTTTGGGTATGTGGAGTTATTGGTATCACCTTAAAGCTTATTCATTCGCCTTGCCTTCGAAGAAAAAAATATCCATTTATCTCCAAAAGAACTCGAGATATTTGCAGTTGAAGGAGGTGGGGTCGCCCGGTTTCAGAAGTAAAACTAGCGAGAAAATGGAAGCCAAAGTTTAGTGACTTCCATAGCTTAAAAAGAGTCATTAGAAACTGCAAATTTACATTTTTTGTGCCTTTAATCAAAGTTTTCCCTTAAAACCCACACATAAAAGGGTTTTTGAAAGGACATAAAAGTAATTGAACCAAAAGTTCGGTATAAATTGTCAAACTGGTGGGAAAATGTCATTTTCTTCAATTTCATTACTTTGACGAAGGCCTGATTTCACCATGCTGCCTCACATATAAGGCTAAGAACAGAAAGGACTAAGATTACACCATGCCATAAAAAACAAGACGGGAATAGACCACATCACCACACAGGCCTCCAAAAAACACAAACCCACCACCACTACATACAAGGCTAAAAAAGGGGGTTTTTTTTAACTTCTTTTAAAAAAGGAAACATGTCTATAGATGAATATCAGCAATTCATAGCAGCCAACTTTTCAAAACAAAAAAAATCAGCTCTATCATTGCAGCGGGTCAAGCTAGAGGGCATTGGCCAAGTAACCACTGTAATTCCTTTACAAACTCTTCTACACGCAATAGATTTAAATTCAAGCCACTGCGCACCGGCAGTGGAATTTTAGTTGCCGAGGGGGGTTCCCCGCCGAGCGCCTTATCACGTCGAGGTCACGGGGGTCAGTTCCTTGTCGCCGCTCTGTCTGGGCCGACTTAATTTTTGGTACTTTTCAATGTACAATTTTAGGTGTATCCTAGTATTTATGGTAATTCTCATTTAGTGCACTCAAAACATGCATTTCTGCTCTTGAGACTCAAACAAGAACGGACGTTGTAACTTGTCTGGTTATTTCATTAGACGCGCTGAAGTCGGCAATGCTAAAATGCAATTTTTTTCGGACTAGCGTAAAAGAAAAAAAAATCAATATAAAAAAAATGGCCACGACCAAATCTGTTAAACTTTTGGAACCTGAACGACATAGCATTGGTGCAGATACTAAGAAAAGATGGTACCTGCGCATATAATAGAAAGCTGTAATTTTGCAACTTTATCCATCGGGCACACAATTTGCTATGAAGTAATTCCTCCAAATACAACTTTATGTATATAGTCGAGAATATTCGCATAGTTTCTTGAAAGTTTTTAAAAGTTACCATGAAGTTTCTCTATGAAAAGTACAAATCTATTTTAGTGCCAGAATACATCTTCAATGTAATACACGAACAGTGACTGTTACACTCCAGAAGTTCCTTACTTTTCTTAAAACGGTAAGTCTAGGTTTTTTAAGTTGACTGAATAATAGGGATGACTTCTCGTAATTGGGTTATCAGAAAAATTTCTAGCTTTCCAGGGACACTGAATCAGCACCAGACTTTTCCAGCTTTATTTTGTGTTTCTATGACCATTTGCAATAACTGACAAAGCGACTGATTTCTTTACATTCATAATTGTGTTCTGACACAAAAACTAAGAATGAATGTGTAAGCTGGCATTATTTTTATTCCATACAAGAAGTTTATCTCTACCCATGTATTTACACGGTTTTGTGGGTTTTTTTAATCGTTTCACGGCGCACCGGCAGTGGAATTTTAGTTGCCGAGGGGGGTTCCCCGCCAGGCGCCTTATCACGTCGGGGTCACGGGGGTCAGCTCTCTGTCGCCACTCTGTCCGGGCCGATTTAATTTTTGGTACTTTTCAACGTACAATTTAAGGTGTATCCTTGTATTTATGGTAATTCTCATTTAGTGCACCCAAAGCATGCATTTCTGCTCTTGAGACTCAAAAAAGAACGGACGTTGTAACTTGTCTGGTTATTTCGTTAGACGCGCTGAAGTCGGCAATGCTAAATTGTAGGTTTTTTTGGCTAGCGGAAATTTTAAAAAATCAATATTAAAAAAAGGCGTCGTCAAAATCTGTCGAACTTTTGGAACATGAACGACATAACATTGGTGCAGATACTCAGAAAAGATGGTATCTGCGCTTATAATAGAAGGCTGTAATTTTGCAACTTTATCTGTCAGGCACACAATTCGCTATGAAGTAATTCCTCCAAATACAACTTTATGTGTCTAATATAATCGTGAATATTCGCATATATCATTTTCTCGAAAGTTTATAAAAGTCACCATGAAGTTTCTCTATGAAAAGTACAAATCGATTTTAGTGCTAGAATACATCTTCAATGTAGATCTAATACCCGAACGGCATCTGTTACACTTCAGAAATTCCGTACTTTTCTTAAAACGTTAAGTCTAGGTTTTGTAAGTTGACTGAATAATAGGGATGACTTCTCGTATTTGGGTTATAAGAATAATTTCCATCTTTCCAGGGACACTGAATCAGCACCAGACTTTTCCAGCTTTATTTTTGGTTTCTAAGACCATTTGCAATAACAGACAATGTGACTGATTTCTTTATATTCATAATTGTGTCCGCGCATATTTCCGACGCAAAAACAAAGAATGAATGTGTTAGCTGTCATTATTTTTATTCCATACAAGAAGTTTATCTCTACCCATGTATTTACACAGTTTTGTGGATTTTTTAATCGCTTATTATTATATCTTTTTAGTTGTATGCAGGCTGCCACAGACACAGCATGATTCATGAACAACCACAGAGTAACTTTCTCTTGTTTAATAGTAAAATAAGAACTAACACTGATCGTCTTTAGTTTAAAAATGCAGATGTGCATCTTTCTTCATTTATAACTTGACTATTTCTACTCGCGCAGATTTAAAATTTCTCATGGTAAAAGACATGATATTCGTAGTCAGTTTAACACAGATTTTGGAGAGATCTGCCGTGCCTTTTAAAAATTAACAATCATTTATTCATAAGTTTGTAACTAAAATAGGACAAATTGGGTACTCTACAAACACTTGTCTAGAACAAAAACTAAGGCACAGAAACTAACCATTCTAACGCAGAATAAATCTCAAGACATTGAGCTTTTAGTACATCCGCGGAATGGTTTGCTATGTGGGATGGGGAAGAAGTTATATCGTTTTAAACAGACAAAAATGTGAACTTCCAAATCGACACCGGCAAAGTCGCTTCAGGGCTCATTAACCCCGTGACCCCGAGCCGGGGAGCTCCGGCGGGCTGATGAGTCACGTGAACTAAAAGTAACAGAATCAGGCGAAAAGTGACGCCGTGTTTTATATTATATCTTTTTGGGTGGGCTGCCACAGACACAGCATGATTCATGAACAAACGTAGAGTAACTTTCTCTTGTTTAATAGTAAAACAAGAGCTAACGCTGATCGTCTTTAGTTAAAAAATGCAGATGTGCATCTTTCTTCTCTTATAACTTGACTATTACTACTCGCGCAGATTTAAGATTTCTCATGGTAAAAGACATGATATTCGTAGTCAGTTTAACAGAGACTTTGGAGAGATCTGTCGAGCCTTTTTTAAATTAACAATCTTTTATTCATAAGTTTGTAACAAAAATAGGACAAATTAGGTACTCTACAAACACTTGTCTAGAACAAAAAGTAAGGCACAGAAATTAACCATTCTAACGCAGAATAAATCTCAAGACATTGAGCTTTTAGTACATCCACATAATGGTTTGCTGTGTGGGATGGGGAAGAAGCTATATCGTTTTAAACATGGCCAAAAATGTGAACTTCCTAACTGACACCGGCACAGTCGCTTCAGGGCTCATTAACCCCGTGACCCCAAGCCGGGGAGCTCCGGCGGGCTGCTGAGTCACGCTAACTAAAAGTAACAGAATCGGGCATGAAGCAGATCTACAACAATAATGTGAGAAATATTAAGTAAAGACATATTGAACTTTATTATAACAGACACAATTCCAATTAATAAATTTTATTATAAATGGACTTCGTTCTCATTATTCGCAAATCTGACTCTCAAAGTGCATAATATTTCTTTGACAGCATCAATCAGCAAGTTCAAGCCCACCAATACAAGAAAATAGGATACAAAAACAGAATAAGTGCACTCTGAACCTCAAAAATGTATAAGATACGTTTTTACGTGCTAGGTGGCAGATATGGCAACTGTACTGTAACTACTCACTTTTTCCGTTCCCCCTCATAATCCAATTTTGTGGCCAGACCAAAGTCTCCAATTTTGATTTCCATTTCGTCGTTCAGGAAGAGGTTGCCTAACTTAAGGTCTCGGTGAATGACCCGTTTACCGTGAAGGTACTGGCAGGCCTCAATGATTTGGCGAACAAAATACCGAGCCTCAGGTTCTGTGACAGCCTTTCGCCGCTTGTGGAGCTCCATAAGGGACTGCAAAAACAATTTTTATTTTTTTTACTGCATTGTTTTCTATGAGTCTTTCAACACAGATTACAAAATGGAAATTTCAACATATTCTAACCTGATAGATCTTACCTTATGAGTGTAAAATGTGTTACACCCTATCAGCACAAATTTAAGAGGCGATAAAATAGACCATGAATGAAGCTTCGTATGGGACTGCAAAACACATCACATTTTTTAAAAATTGCACACCGTTTTCTTTTGCTCTATCAACACAACAATGTTACCTCTAAAGCATCACAATCTCATAAAAGCCCTGGTTTGATCGTAAAATGTTTTCAATCCCTTTTGGATTGACTTTAAACATTTTAAGTGCTGAAAGGTCATGAAAAGGACAGTCCAAACAAAAAAAGAGTAACAATGAAAGCTAATATTTTGTACAAGAATATTTACATGGGATACATTCTACACAAATAGTACTTCCAACAATTATTTGCTCAATGTTTGGTGGTTACAAATTCAAGGGAACGAAACTGTTTATTCTCTTAGTTCTCAGTCTGGTGGTGTTTTGAAACTAGATGCTAGCCCTCTCAATAAATCTTGGGATTAGAATACTTCTTTTACAAAACTATTGAGCTGCAGAAGAAACATTTTTTAACAAGGTCCCACAGAAAACAAAGAGGTTTGCACTGCTCGCTGACGACGTTCCACCCACAAAAAATAGGACAATAATGACAATACCTTTCAAGTTTCAAGCACTAGTATGTAATTGTATTCAAACCGCCAAAAGCTGAAATTAGGCACCAACCAGTAAATCAATTTTGCTGTTATTCAGCACATGAGAACAGGATATTGTCGAAGCCGAAGAAATCGACAGAAATGTTGAAAACGAGAATTCCACAGAAATGCAAAGGAGCAAAGTACTGACAAAATGCAAAATTCGGTTCACGTTCCATTAAAAAAAAGCAGACGCACAAATGTGAGCTGCTTTTGGTAAAACTAATATTTTCACAGTACAGTGACAGTAAATTAGTCCTAGGCGCAATGCCTAACAAAACAATAACAAAGGGACAGAGTTTTAGTTTTAGTTTTAGTATAGGTTTTACGGCGCTCGCAACTGCATACGGTTATATGAGCGCCAAGGGGTGGATGTCAACAGAGAAGTCCTTACAGGGAATAAGACTTACTCTGTTTACCTCTCTAGCTTCAACAGCACAAAGTCTGTTTCGACTTTCAAGGCACCCGGAAATAGCGGGTCCCAAGAGTGTGACAAACATACAAAAGAAGTAGATGAAAAATGACAATAGTAAGGATTAGGAAAGAAAAAGCAGCAGTTCCCTGCTGTAGATCAGGCACAGTTATGAGCGTGACATTGATGAATCAGCCCATTTACAATTTTTACTGTGCATGAGAACGAAAAATGTCACACCTTTGGGAATGGCCTAAAGACACTTCAGTCAATGGCACCGCCGCGGGGGGGGGTAAATGGGAAAGAACAGAATAAGAATAATAATTATAGTCATAATCCTTACCCTCCTGCGACACAGCTCCAGTAAAATATATACATTGTCATTATCCTCAAAGAAACTATGGAATTTCACGATGTGCTTGTGCTCGACACTGCGGTGAATTGCAATCTCCTGTGCCATCTGCAGAAATGAAATCATACACACACAAAGTCATAAAGAGAATTTCTATAGGATGCTTGATCAAAATTTAAAAAATACTGCAAAATGACATCCTGCGAATTAAAATGTCAGGGGCCATATAAAGAACAACTTCAAGGATGAAAATGGAGATTGAGGCTGCAACAAGAAGCTAGTTTTTTGTTAAAGTTTTAGTAGAGGTTTTACGGCGCTCACAACTGCATAAGGTCAAGAGAAAGCTTATTCCAGATGACCGTGCTTAAAGCCGGCATGGACTGTATAGTCCGGGAACATTGCCCCAACCACAACTGAAGTATCTGAATATTCAGACATCTATAAATCTCTAGCTCTAGAAATTGAATTCGATGGATAAAATGCTTGTTCTTCTCAGTCCTTGCAGAATGGCAAAATGAAAGATGACGCCGAACTCTCACAAATAACCAAAAAATCTAGAGAACGGAAACAGTTTGGAGAAATAGAGGTCAAGTTTATTTTCCAGAGCGTTCGGAGAAATAGTCACTTCATTCTTCTTTTTTTTTTGGAAAATCAAAAAAAAAAAAAGATAACTGTTGCAACTCTATGTTCATAAAAATACTAAATCCCCACTATAACCAAAAATACAACAAATTCTAAAAGTCTCCTCCACAACAACCACCTTTCACAAAACAAATAATTCTGTAATGTATAGACACTGTCAAACTGTTAAAAATGTTTTGAAACACTCAGTATTACTAACTTTTTTACTTTGAGAAACCGTTTACATTTCAGTCCTGTCAATCCATCCTGGCAGAAAAGAATCTAGGATACCTCTCTCAGTCACACCTTATTCCCCTATTCCTGAAAACAACTGCATTTTATTATTCTGGAAAACATATAATGGAGGAACCAATTTTATCACAATGTACAAACCTTTCAAGTTGATCTCATCTGTCCTACATCATATGGAAACCAGGAAAACTTCCTCTTTAAATTCTGCCACCACGAACTGGGTCTTAGAAATTCATTTTAAAAATGAAAGCAGACATAGTTACACTGACCTTGTCTTTTTGGTGTTGCTTGACAAGAAGTGATTTGGGTACGATTTTTCCAGCCCAGACAGCCTTGGTGTCCATGTCTGTTAGCTCGTAACATTTTGCAAAGCCCCCCTGAAAATATACAAAAAGTACCAAATAATATTCGCTGTACAGTAGGTAAAGGGGCAGGCTACAACATTCATGATAGGTATGAGGGGGAAAGTAGACATTACACTACCTCAGTACTACAAAGTTCTATCTGACGTTTTTTTTATGGCCGTTTTGAGTTACCAAGGCCATGAGGTCAGAAACCAAATGTTCTACCTGCTCTATTACAACCGTGAGATTATTCAGAATCATCAAGATATTCAATGAATTGCATTTTAAAAAAGCATGACATGTGACGTGAAACTCAACGTTTTAAAAAAATCAAATTTCTCAAAACTAGGCTCTGAGCAAATAGAACTTTGGTAATTCTGAGGTAACGACACATTTCATTTCAAGACATGACAAATTTTATACAGAAACCATTTTTTAAAAATAAAAGCAGTTTTACAACACTTGCAACACAATTAAGAGTTACAAACACAAAAAAGGAGGTGAGATAAGCTGATAAGGACAACAGATGTTTGATAGGAAAGAAGGAGCAAACCACACCAGAGCACCCGCCAACCACCCACAGAAACAATTTACTTGGTTTTTTTTTAAATCATTGAGGCCCATTAAACATCCATCACAGAATGGTGCAAAGCTTGCACTAAGTGCAAGAACGCTGACACACAATATATTATACAAACATGAACATAATGAAATGAATGTGTTGTATGCATAGTGCCTGAGGTGACGAGAAATTAAAAGAGGATTTATTTTGATGTGTGTAAGTCACTGTGGTAAAACTAGGCTTTCATCAAGGTAAAATCGAAGAAACCAACATTTTTCCAACCCTCAGGCAATTTCTATTTAATGATTTTTTGTTGCTAATACCCATAATCATACTTATAGTTCATTTAAAAGCACTGTGTGTATTTTAGCTGAAAAAGGTTGACCAAAGCTACAAAAAAAAAAAAAAGAAAAGAATTTGCAGTTTCCAAGGACACTCAAGTTTTGGAAGTGTGACTTTTTCACAAGAATACTGTACTTTCAGACAAGGTTTTGACCAAGCGAAAAAGTGAATAAGTTTTATCCTTACTTAACCTGGGGGTTCCACAAAGAAAGTTTTGGATTGGAACCCACAGGGCAAGAGATCAAGGGGAAGACCTCGTGGAACTTGGAGAAGAATCACAGAAATCAATGTACAGAAAAGTGGGAAGACATGGAATAACATCAAGAGGCTAGCCCAGGATAGAGAAAAGTGGGGGGTGTTTGTCCGTGGCCTATACCCTGGTGCAGGGTGAGAAAGGCAATGATGATGATGATGGGGGTTCCAGAGGAGGACAACCCCACCCCCCCCCCCCCACTTTCCCATAATTTATTCTTTTGAAATTAGTTAAATTAGGTTTCAGATTTTCTTGAAAACCATTGATTTACAAGGGGTTCAGCAGCTCAACAGATGTGACCTGTCAACCCTGGAATCCAATCCCCGCATAAAATTTTTTTGACACATGAATGGTGGTATTGGTAAACAGCAGTGTTGCTGTCACATGAAGGAGCAGCAAGCACCTAGCACATCTCTGACTGGCCCAGAGATGATGTTACTGTATTTCCGCCATCTGTTTTTGTTGTCTACCGGGATTCCCCCAAGACTCCTGGGTTTCCCTGGACAGTAACTGTTGACTAGATCTTGCAGTGTTTGTTTTTGTTTTTTGAGTAGGCCCTATTAATTTATATGTTAATTATAAACAACCTCAGCAATTCTCGTTCCTTAAACTACCTACTCCTCAAAGTTGTACACTCACACACACTCACGCTCGTGCGCACTCACAGCCCAAGCAGAGGGCGATGAAACCTAGATATCTACTCTAGTGACGTGGCCCATTGTGCACTAAGCGGCAAAGCAGGCCCCCCATGGTGAGATCTAATCAACTGGCGAGGGAAGCCCCGAAAGTCGATAAAAATAGATGGCTGAAATACGTCATCTATATTCAGGCCAATCACAGAGATGTGCTAGATGCTCGCTGCAGCTTCATGTGTGGTGGTCCACGTCCCTGAAGTCGAGTAAAAAAGCTGAACCAGTTGCCAGGGTGAAAAGACCCATTTTAGACTATTTTTCAGCACTGTTTTATTGTTTTTTAGTGTGCTGAGAACAATTTTGGCTCCAAAAACTGCCACAAACCTTTTTTTTTTTTACACGATCCGTTTGTTTCAAAAGTTGTGTTTTGGCTATTTTAATGTGCAGTTTGGCATTGCATGCATTGAAAATCTGGCCAGTATCATCACCTGGAAGCGTGATTTTACTGTATCCAACTGTCAACAAAGGATCCAGACCGCAACATTGCGGTATTACTGGAATGGGTACCCAACCCAGCCACAGACAATGACGGTTTTGAAAAAGGAGTGTAGACCCGGTAACCGGGAACAAAGTCACAAAAGTATGCAGACCCGGTAAGGGAAATAAATTGTGATTTCAGAAAGCTTCAGCACCCTCTTGGCTCAGGGTAGACCAAGGTTCTGCGCTAGATCTATTGCCTAGGTCTAGATCTAGACAGACAGACATAAATCATAGATCTAGTTTTGAGGCCTAGATCTAAAGGAAGATTGTGGATATCTTTCTGATGAACGATCATTTTCCCTCCGTTTTGGGGTTGGGGGAATGAATAAGACAAGAACAATGTCATTTATAATTTCAATCAAGCAGTCACCCTCTCTATTCCTCTGTCTACCACCCCCCCCTCTCTGTCTTTCTTTCTCTTTCACCTAATTTCCCACTCTATCTTTCTCTCGTCCCGTCCTGTCATCTGGGGCATGTGATAATATTTGCTAGCACTTCCCAATGATCTCTACCCCCCCCCCCTCTCTCTCTCTCCCTCACATACACACACTCTACCGGGTCTGGGTGCTGAAACTTTCCGAATCACAAAAGATTTCCCGTTCCGGGTCTGTATACTTTGTGACTTTGTTTCCGGTTACCGGGTCTGTATACACTTCGTTCTGAAAAAGGGAGTGTATACAGACCAGGTAACCGGGAACAAAGTCACGAAGTATACAAACCTGGTAGGGGAAATCTGTGATTTCGGAAAGTTTCAGCGCCCTCTTGGCCTTGGCTCAGGGTAGACCTAGATTCTAGGTTCTTGATCTAGATTTAGACAGACAGACAGAAATCATCGATCTAGATTCTAGTTTCGAGGCCTAGATCTTGATCTAGATCTATATTTAAATCTAAATGAAGATTGCGGATGTCCTTTCGATTTATAAACGATCATTTTTCCTCCGTTTTGGAGTTGGAGGAATCAAAATTTGAAGAAAATAACAAGGAAGAGGCTAGCCGTACTTAATGAGGGCTAGACTGGCAGTCCAGCCGTACTTAAGTACGGCTAGACTCACAGTCTAGCCGTACTTATTCTTAATATGATGGCTAGACTGACCATTTACAAAAAATAGGCCTACTGAATTGTAAATATACATTTTTAGTGTGCAGTACCTAAAGTATTTGTATTTGAGACAAAACCAGGTTCCTTAATGACAGTGCATGTATTTTAAACCTCCTGTTTTCTAATGTAAATAGGGCCTAAGATAAGTACGGCTAGACTGTCAGTTTAGCCGTACTTAATATTGATGGCTGAATTGTAAATGAAAATTTTAGTTTGCAATGCCTAAAGTATTTGTATTTCAGACAAAACCAAAAGGTGCCTTACTGACTTGCATGTATTTGAACCTGAATAATTACTCTAGATCTAGATCTAATGAGACCTGTGTACTTAACAGGCTTGAGTCGATTGGGCCAAACCTAGATCTAAGTACGGCTAGACTGGCAGTCTAGCCGTACTTAAGTACGGCTAGACTGTCAGTCTAGCCGTACTTAAGTACGGCTAGCCACTTTGAAATACAATGTCATAGTCATAGTTTCAATCAAGCAGTCACTCTCTATTTCTCTGTCTCTGTCCCCTCTTTTTCTGCCTGCCTCTCTCTCTCATCTTTTGTGTATCGCTCCTCGCCTTCTCTTTAGAAGTCTTTCTTTCTCCAAACCTATTTCCCACTCATATCTTTCTCTCATCGATCCCTTCTCTCATACCCTCCTGTCACCTGGGGGGCATGTGACAAAACATTTTGCTAGCACTTCCCCCTGTTCCCTCCCTCTCTCTCTCACACACACACACACTACCGGCTCTGGGCACTTAAAAATCACAAAAGATCCCCTACAGCCTACCGGGTCTGTATACTAGATCTAGAATCTAGATTCTAGATCTAATCTAGATTCTAGTATACTTCGTGACTTTGTACCCGATTACAGGTCGGTGGGTCTGTATAAAAATCTAGATTAGATCTAGATCTAGATCTAGATATCTAGATCTAGATTTCTAGATCTAGACTCTAGATATCTTAGATATAAATCTAGATCTAATCTAGACTCTAGATATTAGATCTAATCTAGATTCTAGAATCTAGATCTAGAATCTAGATCAAGAAGATAAACAACACCAATGAATTGAATTGTCATCTGATCTGTTGTTGAGTTGTTGGAAAAACTGACTTCACGCCTTACTCTTATTGGTTAAGTTAGGACAAGGAAAATTTGAATCTGATTTTTGTAGCCTACTTAGAATTGGCTTCTCAACGTTCCCATGTGTTTAGACGAATGAGAGAAAGTAAACAAAGAGATAGACAATAGAGAAGAGCTAAGAAAGGAATCAAGAAGAGGGATCTGAATGAAGACGACTTTGGTTCGGTCAGGGACAGGGAAGACGGGAAGAAGACAACACAACAAGAATAGACATGTTTTCAAGTTTCACCTTGCCCAAAAATCGGCCTCGAAGATAACGTTTTCCTGTTCCTGGGTCATTCAGCACTTCTGGAATCACATCTTTGGGACGTACATCACCCTTAGAACTTGAAGTCGCCATCCTGTTGTCCAATACTTCATTCAGATAAGCTCAATCGTCTCCGATATGCCTCCCTCAGAAGTTGAATAATTCGAATTTAGCAGCACCGAGATGTTGAAATCCGGAGTTTTTCATTGGCTACTGGCGATTCAGCCATTTCCATTGGTTGATATGGTTTCCGTCGCTTACAACTCTGTAAAATAATACAGTAGAAATTACGGACCGGAAAACTAGGCTTGCCTTGGCTAAATGTACGATAACAATAATATAACGAATCAAAAACCCATTGGACTTCTTGCACCCCTTTCGCTAATTTTTCATTTGTTAAGAGGTTATTGACATCAAACGAAAGAAAAAAGTTGAAATATAATACGACCAATTCAAGTTACTTTGAAAACTGCATTCTGATAGATACAATATACATAAAGAGGTGTTGCTATGATTCTACGATAACAGAGCTCAAATTAAATGTAGTTTTACCAAAGATACTCCACTGCCAAGATAGTGCACTTGCTCTTTGCGCTTTTGTTGGCCGCACAGCGCGTGAATGGCAAGGTCACTAGGCGACGCTAGCTTGTTTCATCGCCAACAGTTTAACTGCTTGAGGTGTGTGTTCATATGCGTGCGTGTGCGTTTGTTTGTGAGTGTGTGTGTGTGTGTGTGTGTGTGT